ATTTTATATTAAAAGATTAAACTGACTGAACGTCAAAAGGAAAATATGTTGATGTTCACAATGATTATAAAGTAAAAACTGACAAAAAGCAGTTGCTCAGTTACCTCCTCATCTATTGCTTCTGCTCTGACAAAATATCAAGCTTATTTTCATGCATCACAATGGACACTTTGGTCTCATTTCCTCTCTTCGTAAGTTGCTATCACCCATGGTGTGGTCTCACTGATTAAATGAAATGAAAATATCCTGGGAAAAAAATAGCTTCCATTTCTAATATATGAGTTAATTTTTGTCTGTGAGAAACATAAGAAAGGCTGTCCACAAAATGCATGCTATGCAAAACCACTTGGAGTCTGTAAAGCTGAAGAAACACTATGAGGTGTGGGCGAGCAGTGAGGAGCCTGGCCTCCAGACCCTTTGAGACTGGGAGCGAATCCTAACTCCATCTGACCAACTCAATGTCGTCATCTGTGAAACGGGGCTGATGAGCTTTGCAAGGTTGTGAGGAAGGAAGGAGGTAAAGCACCTGACAAGTAGTAACTGCCCAATAAATAGCACCTACAATTACCCTGCTCCTACCCAGGCTCATGTCACCACCATTATCATTCCAGATAACCTAATGAGATAAAGGGAATGCTAATGCCCTGAATTGCAATTATTTTCCTAGATTCCGAGTTTCCTGTTGACCACTTCGAAAAGACCACATAAAGGAAATACAGTGGATTCTGACTGTTGTGTGGTCCTGCTTGAGGTTTACTTGAATCTCCCCGAGGGGATTTAGTTCCCAGAAGCACCGGAGAGAACTTGCTAAAGCCCCACATGAGGGTTCAGACCTTTAGGATGAGAGTCATAGATGAATCTGTTTCAAAACACCTTTGTATTGCTAATGATACAGGGTATATCCACTAGAAGATTTGGAGCCAGTGCATTTCTGCAAATTTGTCTTTGTTTGGAGGAAGAGTCTCATCCGCTGATACATATTCTGTCCTCATATGTTTTTGAACTGTTTAAAGTGTTTACCTCCATCTTTTATGGGAAGTAAATATTTCTCAATTCATTGGAAAAAAAAAGAAGAAAACCACTGTATCACATGATAAGGGGGAAAATATTTTCTTTCCCTTTTCATCAAAAAAAAAAAGCAAACCCCAAACATAACGATGAATAATGAAAGGAAAACAGACGGAGCCAGAGTCGTTCCATTCCGTGGAGGAGGGACAGAGTAGCTGCAGGGGACAGCTGTGGCGCGTCTGGTGTCCCAATTCTTTCCTTTCCCATCACTTTATTACTTACTGGACCAAGAATGTAGACAATTTTGGCTATGGTTGTTTTGCATTTTGCTTTCTCAACTTAATCCTATGCGGTGCTCTTTGCCCCCTGCACTGAGTCCTGAGCTGACAAGGTCACTTCAGCGTGTTGCGTGGAGCCTCACGTGGGGGGCTCATATTCCTTTTCCAGTTCCCTCTCTTTCCGTCCTGGGTCAGGATGGAAACTTGGAAGGGCTTGCGGTCTTAGCCAGAGCTGCTATCACCAACTACCACAGGCTGGGCGGCTTAACCAACGAACATTTCTCACAGTTCTAGAGGCTGGAAGGCCAAGATCAAGGTGTCTGTGGATTCAGCGTCTGGTGAGAGCCCTCTTCCTATTTGGCAGATGGTCACCTTCTTGCTGTCTCCTTACATGATGGAGAGAGACAACTCTGTCCTCCTCATCTTATAAGGGCCTCATGGAAGCTAATCCCATCATGGGAGCTCTGCCCTCCTGACCTCACTAAACCTAATTCTCTCCCAAAGGCCCTACATCCTAATACTATCACAGTGGGGGTTAAGGAATTTTGCAGAGACACAAACATTCAGTCTGTAGCATGCATATAAATATTTTATCAAAATCATCACATCCTTTATGCCTCTTTCAAGCATTTCTCACTGTGGTTTTGGTTGGGTACCAGCTGACTGCATGCTCACACACCAACACTGTGTGACCTTCAATGAGATGCTATCAGCTGTTAGTGTCTCCCTCCCAAATCCATATGTTAAAGCCCCAAACCCCACTGGGATGGTCTTTGGAGGTGAGTCATTTGGGAGATAATTAGGGTTAAATGATGTCATGAGGATGAGACCCCCATGATGGGATAAGTGCCCTTATAAGAAGAGCACAGAGATCTTCTCTGTCCAAGAGCAGGCACGGGAAGGGCCAAGTGAGCACACAGTGAGGTGACTGTCCACAAGCCAGGAAGAGAGGCCTCACCAAAGACCGACCATACTGGTACCTTGATCTTGGGCTTCCAGCCTCCAGCACTGAGAGAAATAAATGTGTTGGTTAAGCCACCACGTCTATGGTATTTTGTTATAACTGCTTGAGCTGACTGGGATGCAAGATGACTTTAATTTTCCTAAAATGAAAGGACACAGAGAGCAGAGACAAAATGAATGGTGATTCCTAAGGGAGTGTTTGATTTGTTTCTGGAAACATGTTTTTGAACTTACAGGAAAATTCTTAGAAGTGAATATTTTCCATCATAATATAGACTATTACAGAGCTGAGGAAAAAATGATTTTGTTCTATAATGCAATACAATTACAATTTCCTCCAAATCTTCCATCAAACTATCACTTTTTTCTTTTTTACAAATTTTCATAGCTCTTGAGTTTCCTGATAGGTGATGGGCATTAAGGAGGGCACTTGAAGTAATGAGCACTGGGTGTTGCATGCAACTGATGAATCACTGAATTCTACCTCTGAAACTAATGATACAGTATATGTTAACTAAATTGAATTTAAATAAAACATTTAAAAAATAAATAAAAAATAAAAATATTACTTATCTCTTTCAGCCTGAAGGGAACCTAACAATATAACAATATGGAGGCTCATTAAATGCAGAATCACCATGTAGAATTCTATATCTTAACAAGTGATCTGCCATTTCTTCTAAGAAAGTTGTGTGTTTTCTAGAATTTTGACAAACAATACATTATTTCACTGCTGGAAATTGTGCCTCATGTAGCTATTTCTACATGGTAACATGGTAACAAAGGGTTTTTTTTTAAGATTTTACTTATTTATTTTGAGAAAGAGAGAAAGAGAGAGAGAGAGCGGGAGCACAAGTGGGGAGAGGGGCAGAGGCAGAGGGGGAGAGAGAATCTTAAGCAGACTCCATGTTGAGTGTGGAGCCTGATGTGGTGTTCTCTCCCACACCCATGAGATCATGAACTGAGCCGAAATCAAGAGTTAGACACTTAACCAACTGAACCACCAAGGTGCCCCACATAGTAACAAAAGTTTGTGCAAGCTACACGTGCTCCTTGGGGGCAGTGGTGTATTTATTAATACAAAAATTCATATCCCATTATGTCAGCTACTCATCCTTGCTAATGAAACATGATCTGCCACCATCATGGATTACATGGTTTCAAGTCATCCAAAAACGCTCACCGAAGATTTGCTGTTTATTAAATTTATCGAGAACTCTCACCCAAACTACTGTTGCATTTTATGCAGGTGGGAAAATGGAGATTCTGTCCAGAAGTTACACTAAGAGAATCCTGTGCTAGGAAGAGAATTTTCACCAGAATCTCTTGGGGCATGTGTTAAAAATGCATATTCCCTGCCTTCAACCCAGAGTTTCTGCCATAAGAATGGGCCAGGACAGAAGCCAGACATATGGTTTAACAAGAACCATGGGTGATTCTGATGTCACTGATCCACTTGGAGAAACATGTTGTAGTTGTGTTGGGTCCTATACCTAATTTAGAAATCACACACCAAGAAACTACTCTCATAAGATGGGCAAAGGCAAAATTCTGAACTTGGAGAACTTTGCTCTGTTTGCAATTAATATTTTCTCTTTCCAGGCACTTTAGGTGGCCTCACTATTGGATTTCCAAGAGGCTGGCTTACCCAGCTCTGCAGATACTTTTTCATTCTTTTTTCTCTGACTTCCATCCAATGTTAAATCTTGGGTGTCATGCCCAAGATGGCAGCTGGATGTCTGATTCGCTATCCATGCCAACGGGTTATGGGTAGCCGATGCTTTAATGTGTGGTTTTCCTGGGTTTATATTCCTTTTAACAAAGGGCTCTAGGAAGCTGGGATGGTCCCTACAGGGGGAAATCTCACATTCTAAACTTCTAAATGCGCTGGCAGTATGGCAGTCGGCTAGCCTCAATTCTCAGGAGGCCTCCTTGCAAAATCAACTCTGTTCCTAAGAATGTACAGGATTTCCTTTGCAGACTCATGTAGAAGTTGAAGAGGACAAGACTGACCACAACAGCTATCGAGAGTGCCAAGTTCTTGTCTTCTAGCTTTGCTGATTTGTGTTGATAGGATCAAACTGGAAAAAAAAATTGGCTAACATAACCCAAATTCACCTGACCTTAATATAATACTAACTTGAATCGTAAAGCCAGTATAAGAGTTTGTAGTGGAAAATATCTCTTTCCAGGAGGAGGCTGTGCAACTCACAATGGAGTGACCCAGTATCAGACGTAGGAATTTAGAATCAGAAATCACTCCCAGTGGTTCTGTTCTAACCCTCCTTGAGGTCAGAACAATGCATCTTGATGATCTAGCAGAAGAGAGAGGGTACAAGGTGGGTGACAAGAGGGCCCAGGATATATCTGGTCTGTTAAGAGAAATAGCTCTGGGTTCTGAATCTGGCCCTACTGCTCATTAACTGTGTGACCTTGGGCAAGTTTCATAAACTCTTTAGCTTCAGCCTGTAAAATGGGAAGAACACTGAGAGTAAACATCCAGTTCATATTTCTATTACTATCATATTATCAATATTATTCTTAGCCATCTGGGAAAAAGTTAGAAAGCTAAATTCGATGTTGGTATATATCAGCCTCTCTGCTGGGGCAGAAGTAAAAAGGGTGGGAAAATTTTGGTTATAGAAGACACAGTGATAAATAAGAGAGGCAGATTAAGTACTAATATGGCAGACTTCCAATTTTAGCATTCAGGATGGAATAAGAATGGGTTCCCCCTTTCTGGAAACTTACATGTAAGTGTCTCTTCCAGATAAGTCCTGCAGAAAGCTTGATGAACACTGTCAGGGACGCACAGAGCATGGCAAAGCTCAGGCACAGGTCGAAGACTTGAAGTGTCAGGTGGTACTCTTCATAGTGTGGTGGGTCCACACAAGCTGATGGGAAGTTTGCATATGGAAAAGGAAAGGCAACTGCATAACCAAGGTAATCGGTCCCTGCTATCCCTGAAAATGAGTAGAAGCAATATGGGCCAAGGAGAGCAGATTCCAAGGCTACTGCAAAATGAAGTGGACATCCCATCATGCTCAGAATCACAAAGGTGAAACTAGTTTCCCACTGAAAATAAAGCAAAAACAAATTGTTACTTTGGGAACTGAATTCTTCAAAAGCTTCTCAGCAATACGAAGAAAGAAGATGTCAGGTATTAATCTCTTTTACTGGGAAGCTAAGGAGAAATGCATTACAACTTTCTCTTTTAGGCCATTTTGTTCTCCTCTTGAATCTACAATATGGGGGAATAACATATCAGCCAACTGGGCCAAAATTGAAATGAATTCCATTCAGCAAACATGTGTTTGTTTTTCTTCTATCATATGTTGACAGCCAGTCTGGGGTGGGAAAAACAAACATGAGTGCACAGAATCCTTGCCTTATCCTAGCACCTTGCTAATCAGGGCATGGCCTATGGTCCAGCAGCATTGACATCCCCGGAAGTTTGTTAGAAATGTAGAATCTCACAGGTCACCCAGATCTACTGAATCAGACTTCGCGTTTTAACTAGATTCCCAGGTGATTCACACGTACATTAAAGTTCGAGCCATGGGAAGACCAATGATCAGATCAAGGTAGTCTTTCTATACCATGGCATTACTTGGCTCACACTATTGATATGCAAGATATCATAGACTTTTCACCCTTTTTTGGGGTGGCAGGGAGAAGTAACAGAGACACTGGAAAGAGATCCCAAACTGAGCAGTTGAAACTTTAAAATACATGCTTAAAAACAGAAGAGCCTATAGATCCATTTATTCAAAATGAAATTCAGGAGCATTAATGTTGTGTTGTCTCCAAACTGGAACACTTATTTACAATAATCACAGGAGCTTGTAGAAAATGTTTGGAGAAGAAATCAGATTAAAATTATTCGTTTAAAACCTAGTTAATTACTGAAATCCATCAGAGTAAGGCATCAGTCAGACAGAATTCAATGATAATTGGAAGTAAAGTTCTCTGTGTTCCATCCTGAACTTGTAGAGATTTGACCTTCAAACCTATTCAACCATCCCACTCGATGTCTGTATATTTACCAGGTATCTCTTGGTCCCCTCTTTGTGAGCCAACAGCAGAAGTATACCAGTCATGATGGCCTGTGAGAGGGAAATGGAAAAATAACATCCGTGATAGAATGTACCTCTGGAAAGAGTTCAGTCTGTCAGTCTGGTTGACAACTTTATTATGAACTAGAAAGAACAGCAAATGGCTAAATGAGTTTATGACTCAGATCTCCTCCTCATCTGGGATGACAATGAGGCCAAGAAGCCATCAGTGTCAAACAGACATGATTCATACAAGCTCATTTTTTGATTTTCTGTGCTGCCTTTGCTGTCACAATTATAACCTTCAGTAGTAAGGTAAGGTGTCGCTGGCATCAAAGCTTGGCTTTATAACCCTTGCCTTATGTTTTATTTTGATTCATTGTCTACCGTCCATCTTTCTCACAAATTGCTAAAATTACAAATGGGAGGAACCGGAAAGGAAACATGTCATAGAACCCTGAAATCCTGCCCAGCGACAGCGTTATCTTTTACTTTCTGCTTTTCTTTTGAGATTCTGCAGCCTCAGCCTGCTGGTGGGATGCAAATATGCGATTCCTGTTTCTCAGGTAATAAAGATTATAATCAGAGTGAATGCATGGTGGGACATTAATCGTTCTGGGTGCAGTGGTGTCCAGCGTTTCAAGAGGTTTTTTTTTTCTTTTTTTTTTTTAAAGTCTCCTTTGAGGGAAAGAGACCCAAAGTGCAGAATGAAAATAGTTAAAGAGGGAATGGTGTCACCAGAACTGAGCAATATATAATGAAAAAAAAAAAAAATTCTGGGCTCATCTTTAACTCAGCTCCGAGTCTGATGAAGGAGACCTTTGTGGTCACTGAGCCTGGAAACCACTTATTCCCTACCCATAAATCATTTGTTCCTGGTCAAGGAATGTTTTGAAGTTAAAAGAGAAAACTAGAAAGAGATATGCCTGAAACAAGATATAGAATGAGGGCAGGACTAAAAGTAATTACAAATTATGTTTTTAACAGAGAAATAAATATGACTGTATGTATAGTATCAATAAATTTAAGGGGAAAAAAATCAGTTTCTACTAATACGGTTTTGTGGTATGTTGTTTTTGTAGCTTCTGTGTCCAGCCTGGGTTGTTGTTGTTGTTGGAGGTGGTATTTGGTATTTTTGTTTTGTTTTGTTTTGTTTTTTTGAGATTCAGCTTTTCATTTTCCTGGCATATTTTATTTTGAATGTCCGACTTAGAGAATTTGGGGGGGACGGGGAGAAGCACACACATGTACGCTCACACAGAACTTCTCGTGTAGCTAAGTCTGAAATTCCAGACGTGGCATTGCCATACCATAAAACTCCAGTGGATAAAAACAGAACCATCTGTAGTCAAAGGAGGTTGGCTTGATTCTGCAAGAGGAAAGTTTCCAAGGGACCCTGTGGAGGTTGAGCCAGCATCAACAGCACAACAAAACAGGAGAATTATTAAGAGCAACTGAGCACTGATGCTGAGCCTGGGGCTTGTCTTTGCCTTCAGAGGCAAGGCCCTCTCGACTGACACGTCACTCCTCTGAGAGAGAAACACTGGATCAAACAAGAGAAAAGCAAAAGAGACGCTCCTCTGCTGGTGTAACTCCAAGCAGATAGCTGGCATTGTTAGATGCTTAGATTCCAGGTTGCCTTAACTACTTTAGCACGAACCATTGCTTTCCTTTCAAAAGTTGAAAAATGCTGCAGGATTGCAGTGGCCTGTTATTTCTGTTGTAGCTGCCAGCTTGAATTTTGCTTTGTTTATACAAAACTTCGAAAAGATTTTTCATGGAGTAGGCTGGTGTATGAATGCCATTCAGTAATTGTGAAATCCCCCCGTGGACGGTGGTGGCTCAGGAGCAAGCACACCCATCTTTCCTGGTGCTCCCCTCACCAACCCCCCCGTCCGGTGCCTGTGAGCCAGAGGGCAAGGTGTCCCCTGAGTCACAGCCTCCCTCTTCTTGCTTTCTTTTCTTTTTTCTTCTTTTCTTTTTCTAAAAATATTTATGTATTTATGTATTTATTTGAGAGAGAGAGAGCACACATACATGTGAGCAGGGGTGGGGGTAGGGTGGACAGAGGGAGAGAGAGTCTCCAGCAGACTCCCCACTGAGTGCGTAGCCCGGATGCTGGGCTCCATATCACCACCCTGAGATCATGACCTGAGCCCAGAACCAAGAGTGTGACACTCAACTGACTAAGCCACCCAGGCACCCTCTTTTCTTTTTAAAAACATTATTACTTAGAGAGGGAGAGGGAAAAGAATGTAAAAGGGAGAGGGAAAAGAATGTAAAAGGAAGAGTTTTGCGGGTAGGGAAGAGAAGTCAAGTGGGAAAAGGAAATGGGAGAGGAGAGGCAGTGTCTGAGAGACAAGAGCTGGGTACAGCGGGGCACTCAGGTTTCAGGAAGGACCAGGAGGAGGTGCTTGGAAGGAAGGCCCTCCTCCTGCACTCTCCTCCCTCAGCTCTTTCTGACAGGCTAGCTTTCTGCTCCACGGGGCAGTTCCTGCGACTTGGGTTTTGCAAGAGAAGCTGCTAACACTCTAATTGCATGGGATAATTGTGAGCCCTCCCACTGAATCTTTAAATTGCCCATGTAAAGAACGCAGTTCCCAGAAGCAGATGAATTGAAGGAAGTGGGGAGCAGTCACAACAGAAATAGAAACTTGTAGAGGAATAATTTTAATATGCCCTAATTTATTAACTTACAAACATCTATTGTGGGTCTACTACGATCAAGGGATGTGATAGGCACTGTGCAGACAGCGTCGTAACAATTAACATTTACTGAGCACTTACTGTATGCCAAGCACGACACTAAACACTTGACATGTGTTAACTCATTTAATCCTTACAATGATGGAGATTTCCTCCTACTTTTTAAACGAGGCACAGAGAGGCTAAATTGGATGAGCAAGCTCACCAAGTAATAATTATAGATATAATGGTTCCAACTTCCACAGGAATTTACAGTCCAGATGTGAAAGTAATGCACTTAGAAAAACATCCACCAAATGCGGCAAGAAGAGTGAGTGCTTTCCGTGCAACAAGAGTCCAGTGACAAGATACCACTTCTGGGGGAAGGATCGCTGATGAAAGCACCATGGGGGAAACAGGAGCCGAAGCAGGTTTGGAGGGTGGATGTGATTTCAGTGGGAGATGATGGCAGAGGGAAGAGCAGTCTGGGCAGCTCAAGTAACACGAGCAAACGTGGGAACATAGCAGCCAAGCTTGGGCAGACAGTGAGACAGGCGCCCAGATGGGGGGCAGGGCTGGTTCTGGGCACAAACGAGTAGGAAATCAGGCTTGAAAGCCACATGAGGCCAGGTCAAGAAGGGCCTGGAAATTCAGGCTAACATATCTGAACTTTGTTTGGACAATGAAGCAACATTGAAGGTTCTTGAAGAAGGAGCCTTACTGACGCAGCAGAGGTTTAGAAAGATGAGACTGTCGTCACGTGCATGTTGGGTGGGGATGCAGGGAGGCCTAGGTGTCTCTGTAGGAACTTGGTCTTCAAACTGGAAACAAATTTTTTTTTTACTATTATTTTTTTTCAAGATTTTACCTTTTTTTAAGTAATCTCTACACCCAGCATGGGACTCAAACCTACAACCCGAGATCAAGAGTTGCTCACTCCACCGACTGAGCCAGCCAGGCGTGCCCCCCCCGCCAATTTTTTTTTTAAACCTCTATCCATAGCAAGAAATATATTTTGCATCATGGCCAAGTTAAATTTTATATCTAACCAAAATCATAATACCGTTATTATGTGTGATACACTCTGATTCTCTTCTCTTCTCTTCTCTTCTCTTCTCTTCTCTTCTCTTCTCTTCTCTTCTATTCTATTCTATCCTATCCATGTTTTATAAATGCTGCTAGTTACCCAATAGATTGATTTTATAACTCATTAATGAATGGGTTCCCACAGTTTGGCTATTGAGGTTATCTAGGCATAAGACCTGGATGGGGGTGAGAAGTGATAAGGAGTTAGGGGGGAGGTGGTTCACAGTGAGAATGAGAGGAAAGCATGCACAGGGATATGCTTCACAGGAAAAATAAAAGTTAGCTGGCAACGGACTGGATGCGGTGGGGTAGGAGTGGGGCTGAGAGTAGGTTGGTTTAGGGCACTGTTGCCCAGAGCACAGTCCTAGGACCAGCAGCATTGGTATCCCTTGGAAACTTGTGAGACAGGCAGAGTCTCAGGCCTCAGCCCAGATTTACTGAATCGGAGTATACATTCTGACAAGATCCCCAGGTGATTCATATGCACATTACAGTTTGAGAAGCACCAGTTTGGAGGGAAGGATTGAGTCAAAAGTCACCCTAGGGTTTGAAATTGGGTTCAGAACCAGGAAAGTCAGGAGAAGAAATCATTGCTTTTGGTGGTGATATGATTTTGGGGGGAGAAGCGGAGCTTAAAGAAGCTTAGGCTATCTAGGGGCACCTGGGTGGCTCAGTTGGTTAAGCGTCTGCCTTCAGCTCAGGTCATGCTCTCGGGATCCTGGGATCGAGCCCCGTGTCAGGCTCCCTGCTCAGCGGGGAGTCTGCTTCTCCCTCTCCCTCTGCCCCCCACCTCTCTCTCTCAAGTAAATAAATAAAAATCTTTAAAAGTAATAAAAAAAAGAAATTTAGGCTATCCAAGTGGAAAATTGGCCATCAGGTGTTTGGCAATCACAGGACTGTTGAAGCTGTAAGAGGCTCAAGTGTTGGTATAATCAAGTCCCTTCTGTGACTGAGCAGGGCACTGGGGCCTTTCTCCCAAGTTCCTGTCTCCAGGCAGGATTCTGGGTGCAGCACTGCTGCCTGCCATTAACTAAGTCACTGGAGTTGCCAAGCCACGTTCTCCAGGATTCAAGTGGAGCCCAGTCCTTAAGGCACTGAATCTCCTTGCTGCATACTTTCTAGCAGCTGATGCCTTTAAATAACCTAGTTCAGAAATTGTAGGAAATCTGCTTATCATGTCGCTGTCAGAAGAGAGCTAGGAGAGTCTGAGGACCAATATTTGCGAAGAATTTAGAAAGTCTGGAATGAGAGCACTGAACAAATACAAAATACTGTATCAC